TATATATATATGGTAATATATAATATTAATATATATTATATATAGTAATATAATATGTATATAGTAATAATATTACTATATATATAGTAATATTTACCATTATATATATATATGGTAATATATAATATTAATATATATTATATATAGTAATATAATATGTATATAGTAATAATATTACTATATATATAGTAATATTTACCATTATATATATATATGGTAATATATAATATTAATATATATTATATATAGTAATATAATATGTATATAGTAATAATATTACTATATATATAGTAATATATAATACAATAATAGATGTATATATATGTATAGTAATGTAATAGCGCTTTTTTCTTACAGCCACAGATATATCTAACGCGAATAAAATGGCGTCACGAAAAATTATATTTCGGAAAACTGTGTACGTTCAAAAAGGCTGTTCATCTGAATTTGCAATAGGTTGCACGGATGCCGTTCACTTTGTTTATAAAGCTGCCTAAGCGGAAAATTCGCGCGCTGTAAATATATTTACACTATAAATAGTGCTTGTTATGTTTAGCGGCGCACATTGTTTTGTAAGAAACTCTCCGCTCGTGTGATTAATGGTGCGACGCGCACGTGACGCGTGCTTTTGTTTCTACTTTGTTAAACTAAACGACTAATTTCGGAGTAGGATCACTGCCGAAAGCGATCCCGGTTCTTCGAAAGTCTCGGAAAATCGCGAAAGCCATCGGCATTCATGAAATAAATCGTCATGTTTTTCGTCATAATCGTGATTTAATACAACGTATACAGGCACATAGTAATTCCACAATTCGACGTTCATTAAGTTTTACCTGTTGTGTTTTCCAATGATGCAAAAGAATGTAACGAAACTAAATTTTTACAACTATCATAATTTATTTAAGCGCATAAGAATGTTTCTATTGTTCTTGACTAATTTTTTTAGGTGATTAGAAATTATATCTATCGTGTGTTATATTTATCTATTGTGTTTGATTGTTCTTTTAGGTGATTAGAAATTATGTCTCTATTGTACTCGATTGATTTTTTAAGCAAACGGAAATTATGTTTGTTATTTACCTCATTTGTAAGAATAGATTAGGAGGTTATTGATAACAGCATAATGAAAACAGTGATAATAATTTATTATACTGACAAACATTGGTTCAAATGTTTTTTTAAAACCATGTACGATTTCTGCGTGATTTTTTCAGTCGAGTATCGTTTCCTAACATAGTATTTTGTGTTCAGACGACAAAGAAATCGTTTATATTATTGAACACGTGTTCAGTATCTATTTTTATTTTAATATCGGGTACTTCAAACTATGGTTGTATCGTCTATTTCGAGTGATCATTCTAAAACATTATGATATCATTCTTCTCTGAATAGGATAGCTATAAATATGAACAGATGATAAAAAGATACTTCAGCGGAAACGTGGTAGCATTCTCTTGAACATAAAACCGACGTATTTGTGTTCTTAACGCGTCGAGTGCCGCGTCGGCCGCATATGTATAACACTAATTCATAACTAGGTTTTGAAATTAATTTTTATTATAATATGTTGATTATACCGAATGTTACTAGGATTTATAGAATACAACAGAATTAAACGAATATTTTCGATAGTGTTTTTTAACTTCCTGGTTTCGGTTTCATTAGCTAAATGACTTCGATGTTGTCGGGATTTTTGGAGTTGATATTCGACACTTAAACGTGTCAATTCTTAACTTCTAATCTGTTTCCATAATTAACTCTCGAAAAAACGATACTGATAAAAAAGTGATATGCGACAATTTAAAAGAAAGCACACGCGAAGACTGTAGGAAGTAATATTTGGCCGGAGAACTCTTTAGAACAGGTATCGAAGCGCGGGTAACATCGAAGGGGTTACTGCCCTTTTGATCGAATTAGAGGTAACCCGCTTCCTCCTTGAGGCTTGCTTCAAAGCAGACGTGTCTTTAAAAGAAACCCAAGTTGACGATCGCTTTTTATCTTCCTCGTCCGAAGACTTCGCTACTTTGTGTACGAAACAGTCTTTAAATACGGGGCTCGTTCCACAAAAGACATCGTTAGCGAACGCAGAAGTGCAAACGGACCGGTTCGAGTGGATTCTCTCTGTATCTCAGGGCTCACTTAATTTAGTAATCAATTGCTTCGATTCCTACGCCGCTTTCGAGTGCCTTCGATCGGCCATTTGAATATCCTACGCGTCTCGTTAAGGACGGCGACGGATTGGTCAATGATCGGCTGTTCTGCGGACAAGGGATCTGCTCCGACATTTTTTAATTGACAGAGTTACATTTTCGTCGGTTCTTTTCTGCGCGTAGATTAATATTGCCGAATGATACAGATACGCGACCGCGACACCACGAGGCACAAAGTATTGACATTTCCGAAGCGCACGTAGCGGCCTTCGCGTAGGAAAAATGTGGGAACAAAGGAAACGTAAACAGGATCGAAACGCAACAATGGGATTGTTTCCACTTATTGAAAATTCCGTGCACGTTTGCCGTGTAGAATACATAAATGCACCGAGCATTTCATATTCATGTATTCCTCCTCTTCGTCCCATGTCAAATGTATTCGTTAAGCGTAGGGGCTCGTAAATAGCCTTAAATTCTTAAATGCATTCGTGACGCAACGCAGTATTAATTGAACTTCAGTATCGATCCTACGAAAATTTTGGAAAAATTCATCGATCATTAGATTATGATGCCATTTAGATTCGCAAGAGTGTCTTAAAATTCTCATCGATTCCCTGAATTTTAGCTGCTTAGCCATTTTCTGGAACATCCAGTATATTTTCGATGTTACGTGAAACAGTAATGCAATATAACCTTGATAAACGTTTATATCCTCGGTAATCTCATACGATTAAGTCTTCTATAACGTTATTCGCGATTAACCTTGAAGTGTAAAAACAAAAAACTGCAGACGTTAAACACCCGTGATCCCCAAACAGAGCGAAGAATTCTAGCTCTTGTATTTTCGAAACTGTTCTGCAAATTATGTCTTCAGTTTTAATTTGTCGATCTCTTCAATGTGTTTTCATAAAGGTAATAGGTTATTATTCCTATTCATTTTTATTGTATGAAATCATTGCATTTGTGCATAAAAGCATCTTTTAAAA